TCTTAGAAGTTTCTTTTTTTGAAGCGTTCAATTTTCGCCATTTTGGCTCTCCATTCGGCTTAGTCTTCTCTCGGATGCCTCTCGGAAACAAAGGGGCTGTGAGGTAGATTAAGGAACTATGAAGTAAATTAAAGAACAAGTGAATTTAGATTCAACAAAACGAGTATGGAGTTCAATTTGCACACTGAAACAGCTGCTTAAAGTTAAAACATGCCACTAACTTCGTTGCAATTAGATGCAACAACACTGGCGACCCTAAGAAAGATACAGCAAGCATAAAAATGATCCTGATTTTTAGTTCCTGAATTTATTTCTCATGACGTCACATATGAGCTATAAGTCAATTTCGTGACCAGCGGAACGGGTGTGCCAAAGAAATTTAGACCAAAAAAATTGCTAAAAAATCTCATTTGTTCAAAACGCAAAATTCTTTGGAAGAAGTTCTTGAAGTACAGTGTTCTTTCAGTTTTTACGTTATACTGAGGCACGTAAGAGATCGTTATTTAGTTATTTAGGAGCTTGTGCGTTCTATTAGGTAACCTCACCTAATGGCATACTCAAATGATAGTTTCATTTGTTTTTTGTTGTTTCTTTCGTCTTACAGCTTGTGATATCGACCTCGGACTCGTCATGGATAACACTAAAGGCAACTTTAGTCTCATAAAGGACTTCGCGAAGCATCTTGTGGGAAAATTTCAAATCTCAGACGAAGGTACGCGTGTTGGAGCCATTACATTCGGTCACGGAGCACATATTCGTCTTCTGTTCAGTGATTTAAAAGGCAAAGAAAACAACTTGCAGAATGTGAAGGAACAGATCAATAGATGGCATGAAGGTTCTCCCGTTTATGATAACAAGACTAGTATCAGCGAAGCTCTACGTGTTGCTAAAGATTTCCTGTTTAGGACTTCCAGTGGCATGAGACTCGGGCAAGTAGAACAGGTAATAAGCCTTCTTCATTCCTCTGACACCCCTGAGGAGCCTTGAGAGTTCTCGTAGCGTGTGTCTTAGGAGGCCGTGTGTGTATTGTGCGCCCATTGCTGGTTTGCATCATTCCCATGACACTCAACGCCCTTTGCAAACACTTAGGGCTTGTTTACGTGGAGGTGGGGGACCTAAGGTAGGTGAGGTAACCCGCTTAGGTGGGGTAAAAAAGTAACCCCCGTTTACATGCATCCTTACAACCCAGCCATCGCCGGGTGCACTTTCTCAAGATTATTGAATGATCGCTAAGCGCGTAAACAAAAAAATGGCTGGCGAACAACGTGTTTTGTGGATTAATACTCTTCTACACTCTCTTGCTGCTCTTGTTACAACCTACACTGCTGTGGCTTTCTATTGTTACCTTCAATGATGCAAAGCCACCGCCAAAAGTAAATTTTGCGCCAATTTGATGCATAGCGAAACCGACCCTGACTAAGCGGGTTACCCCACCTTGTATGACACGATAAACAGTATTGTATTGAAACGTTCACATGGCAAAATTTGACCCCGGCTGAGGTTATCCGGTCTGGCAGAACGGGCTACCCGCCTTGGCGGGTCACCCCACCTATCATGTAAACTGAATCAAATTATGATGAGGGATTAATTTGGTCAAGCGGGTGGTCCCAACTAGGCGGGTTACCTCACCTACCTGGGGTCCCCTACCTCCATGTAAACAGGACCTTAAAGAGGGGAACACTGACGGCAGACCCATGCACTGCAGTGAAATCAAATTGATTGAGACCTCTGAGTAGACAAACGATGTTTTCACACGTGAAAGAATCGTTTGCGTCTTTGTTATTTCTGTATTAGGGTGTACGGTTATAACACACGTTTTTCTTTTGTTTTCGTGACAGGTACTCGTGCTTTTCACAAACGGAAAACAAGACATGGGGCAGGTAGCTTCTACTCTCAGAAGAATTCAGGAACTACAAAATAAAGGAATAAAAATTATCATTGTGGGTATTCAAAAACCAGACCCTATCGAGCTGTTGAAGCTTGCCGGTGGAATCGAGAACATGCATTGGCTGAAGTCTGAGGGCAGGATTACAAGCATCGCTACCAAAATATTCCAGAGTGTATGCAGTAAAGCCTAGGATTTCAACAGGCTTCTAACTTTGGCATGTTAATTATAAATGCTAAATGCTTAATGAAGCCTCCTTAAGCCTCGGCAAATATATCATATACTTTGTAAAAAAAAAAAATTATAAAAAAAAAGGGACAGTAGATATATCTAGCAACCTTTGTGGCATTACAGGTGTGGTATGGAATCCCTAATGAAAGGGTTCCCAAGTCTCCACGAAAATAGTGGGTAAGGTGGGGAGGGAAGGTGTGTGTATACAAGGGTGTTGTGTGTATACAAACAGAACAGAAAAGTTACATGTTAAGATTAGCACTGATAATGAGGGACGGGAAAACTGCAGAGCAGTTATGTCTACCTCAAAGAAGTGCAAAAATTTATTAGGTAGAAAGTAATAATTACTGAAATTCTAATAAGGATAGGATTAAATAAAATATATTAGTTGAAAAATAAAAAGAAATAAGTATTGAGGGACTGGCAAACTGTCAAACAGCTATGTCAACCTCAAAATAGAGTTAGGATAAGTATAAGAGGATGAGGGGTTAGAAGGTAAAATATTAAGAGGGATGATAGGAAGGTGAAAAGGGAAAAAGAGGGACCGGCAAACTGCAAAGCAGTCATGTCAACCTCTTGGAAAGTTAAAAATAAAGAAGAGAGAGGAGAAAAAAAAAAAATATTAAGAAAAAAAATTTTAAAAAAAATTTAAAAAAAATAAAATAAAATAAAATAAATAATAATAATAAAAATAATAATAAAAATTTTAAATAATAAAATGAAATAAAATAAATGATAGAAAGAGTGAAATAAAATAAAATAAATGAATAATAAAGGAGAGACTCCAGGGTAAACAAAGGAAAAAAAAACAAACAAACAAAAAAACAAAACAAAACAAAAAACAATCAAACGAATTACTTCAATAACTTTAATGCGTAATTTTCTCTTCAAAAATAATTATAAGTAAAAAACATGTTTGTGAAAAAATGAAAACGTAAAAATGCTTCTTTGGTGAAAACAAATTACAATAAGCCAGATGGCTTGTTAATTGATATAGTAAAACCACTATATGAGCTTCACATAATTGTTGATGTATAGTCGTTCTTAAAAATTTATCGAATCATTGAAATAGTTAAGATGAGATTGAAATATATTCGTTCTTAAAAAACTCAGGGAATTATTGACTCTGAAAATTTTTCTTTTCAATAAAAGTTGAAATTGACTCAGTAGTTTCTGCAGTAACTATAGCGACATCTGCAGAGTTACAAAAATTCTGAAATAATTTTAAAAAATTGGATAATACTTTAAATTATCGGATAAAACACAAGATTAGAATTAAGTAAAGGAAAATGTCACATGTAACTTCCCATAAAAAAAAAAAGGGGGGAAGCGGGGTGGAAGAAATGTACAGGATAAGAACTTTCATGATGAAACTGTTATAAGTAGTATAACTTGAATTATTACAAAAATGTAATTGAAAGAGAATTTAAATGGTTAGTTGTTAGTCGCTTTTTTTGTGTTCGCTGACATTAATAATAATTTATTATAAGGAATACAACTTGTAATTTTTTAAAAGATATTTTTTCGAAAGAGAATTTAAAAAGGTTAGTCGTTAATTGTTAGTCGATCTTTTTTGTCCATTAAGGTAAAGCCATTCTTCAGAGTGCAGATCAAAGTAAAACCAGATGTGTGATTTGTTGTCCATGTTGTTGAGAAGAAAGTCTAGCTGGCGGGCACGTTTTTCTGCCTTTTTGTCAGTGGTCCAGTGTTGTGACGTCAGAATCCAGTGTGAAGTGAGGTGGGGTGAACAGCCATTGCCAATTAAAAATAAAAACAGTTTGAAGTGTCCTTGTCGCTGATCGGTTTTTTCCAGAAAATTAACTTAAAATCTTGTGGCCAAACAGAAAGTGGATAAAAAGCGTCGCCGTTGAAAGAATTAAAAAGTTGAAGTCGTTGCTGGACAATTGATGCACGGGAGAGGTTGCGGAGGTGATGATGGTAAAAGTGGAGTGTAGAGTGGTTGTTATCCATAGTTGAAAGTAGTCTGTTAAGATAACAATAGAGGGGAGGGGGTGAAGTAGAGGGTGGGGATAAGAGTATTTTGTAATTAACTATTAATTAGCGCCATAAGTTATGATAAAAATTGTCTTATTGTCATTACAGGAAAAGGGAAGCAGAAGAAGAATAGATAGAGTGTGAAGGAGAATGAGAATACCCGGGTATGGCAAGAAAAAGGATGCATCGACACCAAGGCTCCCGTAATCTTGTGAATCATCAGGGGCAAAGCACAACTGAGCGAGGATGTTTCTAGCCCGGCGCCGAGCCTTTGCCCGACATCCTCTGTGTCGAGTCCTTGAGGAGAAAAAAGGAAGAGAGGAGAGAAATGGCCGGGAGGTAGTCGAGAAGAGAGAGAGAGAAAAGAAGAAGAAGAAGAAGAAGAAGAAGAAGAAAAAAAAGGAAAACAAACAAATAAACTTTGAGCAGAACAATATACTCTCTTTGTATGTAAATAGAGTTGGAAAACGATAAATTAAAAAAAAAAAAGAATTATAACGGTGAAGCGGAAAGCGCCAGTTGGGTAGTTTAAAGTAACAAATTAATTAAGCTAAAGTGACAATATCTTACCACGAAAACAAAGGGGTTTCTTCAAAAATGCCGGTAGTGGAAAAAGGTCAGTCCTGGAAATAAGGAGGCCCAAAATTAAAAACAATTATAAGGAATGAGGAGAATTTCCGTGGAGAAATACTTACGTCTGGAAAGAAATGGCTCCTCTAGGGTAAACGTAAGAAAAGAGTGAAAAATGCGGAACAAAATTCTGTCGTAACAAAAAAAAATTTTTGTCAAAACAAATTAAAATTGACGCCAGAATGACGCGAGCCAATGACGTACGAGAAAGGTGTCGCAATGATTGATGGGATAGCAATCAACCTTTCGAAGGATATGAGCGGCCATGAGGGTTGAAATTGTGTTTATAAAGCGTAGAAATCTGTCTTCTCAAAGCCAGGTGTCGAAGTATTTTAGGAGTGGCAGTTATCGTTGTGTGAAGGGATGGATTTGTAGTAAGCAGCTTTTGCTCGGAGTTATATCGAAATCGGTGAGTCGGAACAACAATTGCAGTATGATCGATCGTTCTTCTTGTTAAGAAAACTGGAGTTGAGTTCAGGAGCTGAGTGCTGGTTGAGCTAGCAATCTGGTCGTTGGAGGTAAGGAATCGAAGTTAAGTATTCATAATATGATATATCGTTCTTTTTGTGATGACGATGAGTTTAGTCTGAAAGAGTTGCCTGTGTGTGAGTCGTGTTTTACAAGGATAAAGATGGTAAAATTTCGCTTGACTGCATGCAAGGAGAGGAGTTTCATAACAAGGCAGTGTAAAAAGGGGGAGACGTGATACGACGCCGCAGTGAAATAGGCATTGACTGCTTCTAAGATTAAACCATCTGGATAAAGACCTAGTAAAAGAATGAGAATTATAATGCTAAAAAAGCTCGTGGTAGGGAATAGTGAAAAACGATTAAAATATTAGGGTATTTACATAAAAATGGTAGTGTAGCTTTTTGGTGTAAGTAAAATATCCAGTAGAAAGAATTAAAATTTGATTACACACAAGTGTCAAGTAGAATGAATTAAAACTTGATTACATACAAGTGTCAAATTTAAAAATTATTAAAGCTTGAAACTAGCATAATTCTATATTAAAGTAGTGCAAAAGTGTTTAATATGTCCATTGATGTCGCATAATGTCTAGGGTATAATAAGTTAAATTTGTAGTGCTAAAACTATAACCGCATTAAAAGTGGAGAAACTATGTACATGGTGGTAGATGAAGAACCCATTGAAATGATATAAATAACCAGCAAACATTTGCAAATTAGCTGCTGGTAGATATATATGTTTTAATTGGTAGAATTATTAAATAGGATTAATTTATGGTGTAACATTTTATTAGTAAGAAGGAGTGTGTGGAGTTTAGTAGAGTTGTAGTATGCTTTTGTGAGTTTCGGTATGTGTGGGTTGTGGTATTTGAGTAGAATGCTGTTGACCAGTTTGTCTGTTCGTTTGTCCTTGTTGTATAGAGTCTTGTAGTAAACAGTGGGTCTGGTAACGTTATTAGTCTGTTTGGTTTTGAGGCGTCGCTGGTGAGCAGTGCGTGTGATCCATGGAAATGAATGTTCAGTGATCAGTTGTAAAGGATAGTCTAAGGCAGTAAGTCTAAGTGTGAAAAGGTGGTGAATGAAGTTGTAGTCGTCTATTGTGGCTGAAAGTCTACTGTATCGTATAGTTTCAGTTTTAATGATACCAGTAAAAATGTGATGGGGATGGTTAGATGAAAAATGAGGGTACATGTATTTATGGTGTGGTTTCTGGTAGATCTGGTGATGCACTCTGTGGGATTTGATGGTGAAGTGGTTGAGTGACAAAGTGAGATCTAGGTAATGAGTGGTATGGTGATTCGATGTGAAAGTGAGAGGTATTTGTGGCGGGTAAGAGCTGCAGAGGTTAGAGATGATATCAGGTAAGTTAGTTTTGCTGGTTAGCATAAATCCATCATCTATATAACGGCAGAAAATAAAAATGCTATTAGTAGGGCAGTTAGTATTGTTAAAAAGTGAAAATTCGCTTAGTAGGAGCACGAGGTCCGCAACTTGCCGGCTATGGTAGCTGCCCATAGCAACCCCTTTAATTTGCTGGTAGATGGTATTTTTCCGTAAATCGTCGGTATCAAGCACATTCTCTAACAGGTGGCAATCTTGGTTTCAAATGTATCGGGTTTAGCCTGGGCCGAGTGACTATGAAATCTACTCTTGGGGCAGCGGACCCAAGAAGGCCCGCACATCTGGACGATTTTAGGTAAAGATAAGGGACAGTGAACAGTCTAGTGGCCCGCAAGCAACCATCCCCCTTGCTATTATCCTAGAACAAATACTGTATCTTTGAAATTAGGTTACCCTGCATTTAAAACTGGCGTGCTGGTTTACCTCGTTTAGCGCTTTCGATTTTGACTCCAGGGCTAAAAGCGCA